AAAAAAAAAAAAAAAAAAAACAGTAGAAATAAGTTTATCAAAATGGAAGAAAATACTGACGAATTCGAAGGAAAAAAATTATGGGTGAAAGTGTGCAATTTTTTACAATGATCGATCGAAATTTTTTCGAAGCTATAAACGTAATAAAAATTTACAGAATTCAAGGGGGTCAACGTTTGCACAGGTGTGCGGGCGCGCATCGTTCACGATAAAAATAAACATAAATCCTCATTAAAAATAAACCCTGGCGTACCTGAACGAAAATTTTAAAATTGGAGCATCGCACATGCGGTGGGCCTAGCATCACCTATTTCCACATTTTTTTTACACCCTTCTTGGAAAGTGCCAGGGAGAGAAAGGATACTCTTCCTGAACTTCAACAACAGTGAATGACAACAATGCCAGGGAAGAAATGGGCATCCTGGTAGATTTAAGTGGAAGTGAGGAAGAATCCCAGTGGGAAAAAAAATTTTTCCAAGAGCTTGATGTCATACCGCTGCACTTCTTTATCATGAAACAGATTCAAGATACTGTACTTTTCTATCAAAAACTACGAGATGACCTTACGGCAGTGTGCGGCGCCTTATCGGTGAAACTGCAGAAGCTGTCACGAAGGAAAAGCAGCAGCTATCACGCCATATGAGTAGCTGCGAAAGAGAGCAGGCAGAGATGAATGGATTCCTTGCCACAGAAGTTGGGATGAAGCTATGACGAGTTATCGAAAAGTTTCCGGAATAGGAGGCGCGAAAAGTGGACTTCAAGACGATTGGAAGAAAACTATGCAGTGCTGCATAATAATTGTGGCGGTAAGGCAATCTGGGCTATATGAAGACAACATTATGTGACACACACATATAGCATGACAGCCAAAGCTAAACACTTTTATGTGCATTAGCAGTCTCGCAAGCACAGCTCCCTCCGTTCCTTCTTCTCTCACCCGTCTTCTTCCCAGCTTCTTGCTGGCCTCATGACCAAACGCCGAGTGGACAGCGCAATGGTTCGCGCTCGACCACCGGTAAAAATGCAGCACTCGTCCGGCTTCGCTTGCAAGCAGGTCCACTCGCGCGACTTACGATCCGGCCCAGTTGCGCCGACCCCTCACGCAACACTGTCAGGATGCGCTCCATTAAAATTAGGTTCAAATTAGGAAAATCAATAGGACACCAAATGTCCATTGTTCAGCTTCCTCCCTCCGCCTCTTTCTTACTGCCTCCATGTTATCGATTTGCGGATGTTAAGAGCTGTCCTGGACGGCATCAGTTTATGCCTTTTTTCCAGAATTTGCTTTATGGAGTACAAATGTGTATGTTCGTTGTTACACCGAGATGCTTATTTCTATCGACCACTAAAATGAGTGGTACCAAGGACTATTCGTTTTTTCGCGGACAAAGCTTGCTCAATCTCATCTCCGAACAGCTCACATCTAGCTTAGCCGTGGTGCCTGGTGACAACGGCCTGCATGTGACAAGACAATAAAGCCATCAATCACAATACGTAATTTCAGTATCTTAAAAATCGGCTAACTCCTCCAATATAAATAGATGTGATGAGCTTGTCTTCCCATTAGCAAAAAACCCTGCCTAGATGCGTTCCAGTAGGAGTGCCTATGTTGGGGAATATTAGAAAGCAGGCACAGGCATAACAAGTTATATACTGAATAGGCATATGAAAAAGCACTGCGTTTTTCAATTGTTATCCAAGAAACATTGGCAGAGCTCTGTGTGCGAGCAGCAGCGGAAATCATCAGTAAAACCTCCTAGCGACCATATTTGAATGCACGTTTGGCGCATTTGCAATACAAGTGTAAGAAAAAAAAACTCAGGCTGGAAAGCACTAGGTGAGCCGGTGCGATCATGTGTTTTTGCACAGTTTCTTGGGGATTTTTAGTGCTACGGTGGTATCTAGCCGCAGTGCTTTGCAAAGCTCTGTATATTGTGATACACAATCTAGACAGCGGAGCGTTCTGTTCGGAGAAATTTGAAGTGGGCTGAAGTAAGCAGTGCTC